TTAAAAAATAAGTTATATTTTAACTTTTTAAAGAAAAGGAGATACTTCGTTTAATTATCTCTCTTAACTGATTTCTTTTATAACTATTACATTAGGCGAATGTCAAGATAACCAATGTTACTTTGACATTTAACGAGAATGATGAAGTGTTTTCTTACCATGGACTCGTAATGTGCAATTCAAGTCATTTTTCCTTTATATAAAATTAAAAACAAATACTAAATTTGCAAAAACCTAGGTTTAAATTCATCACTTTTAATATAGTGTTACATAGTCTAAAATCAAACACACGTCTATATTTGACATAGAAGGTTTCGAAGAATAAAAGTCATATGATCGAGTTAGGAGCTTTTCAATGGTAAGTTAGAATAAAAGAAAAGAAAAGAAAAAATAGTAAAAGAGTGTAGGAATTTGTCAAGAAAATGTCTTTCCAAATGAATCTTTTGGAGCTCTACATTTTTGAGATATTTCATTTCAAACAAATTTCACTAAGATAGATCAATTTAATCCCAAATAATTTACAATATTCCTATATTCTAACATAACTCTGCCAAACACAAAACAATATAGATATATAAAGATTTTTTGTCATGTGCTCATAATGTCGCATTCAAGTTATTTCGCAACATCCTTCAAAGAAAGGAGAATTTTTTTTTTTTTTTTTCGGAAGTGATTGTGCTAAATAATAAGAAACAATAAGTGGATATTAGATATTAAATTGTAGCGGACATTAAAATTGATAATATTTTAAATTTTTTTTCTTTTTTAACATTGTTCAATAATCCACCTTATTAGACACACTATAGATATAACTACTTTTATACATAGTACAAATAGATATGACTATTAGGGCCAGTTTGATTGTCCAAGAATTTCCATGGAAAATGGAAATTTTCTAACATTTGGGATGTTTGACAAGATAAATTTTCCATGGACCTTGATCACGTAGACATTTTCCACAATTTCATGGAATTTGAATTCTCACCATATTGGTGAGAATTCAAGTTCCATGTTACTGTAGTGGATTTTTATTTTTATTTTTTCATTTTTTTGTTTGCAATAGAAATAAATTTTATCCCTAATTGTAAAAAAAAAAATTTCCATTTAATTGACAATTTCCATATAAAACAAAGTCAAACGAGCACCAAAATATAGATGATTTTTTGATCGTTTTCTTTTTTTTCTTTTTGGTTGGCAATGAAAGCAATTTATAGGAACAATGGTAGAAGTAAATATCCCTTAAATTGACAATTTTTATGTAAAACAAAGTCAAACGAACAATAAAAAACACTTTTTATTTCAACATTTTCCACGTGGAAAATTATACCAATCAAACACTATCAATTGACAATTCCAAAAAAAATAATTTCTAGACAATTCAATTCCCTGATATTCATTTTCTTTCTACCCAAATTCCACATTTGCAAAATGACTAATTAGATTTCAACTTAACCCATCAATCAATTTTTCTTTTCAAAATGTCCGTACAAATTTATGATTTTTGTGGATTTTCAGTTAATTATTTGTTTAATTTTCAACTACTTTGACGTTTAATGAGAATGGTCTATGGAATAATTAATCTCGACATAATATCTAACATGATCTAACCTAATACTTGGCATAATTTTTATCGAACATGAGAAATTATGCAGAAAAATTGTCTTATATCATGAATTCATAATGTAAAATTCAAGTAGTTTTTCCTTTTTCTAATATATGAGGTTTTAAAGAATAAAAGTCAATGATAAAAAAAAAAAAGATCAAGAGAGTTCTATATAAATTGTCAAACAAAAAGTCTTTCCAATGTAGTCTTATGGAGTTCTAGATTTATTTATTTTTCAATGAAGTAGATAATTGATTTTTACGTTTGACATTTGACGAGAATGATCTGAAAATCAATTTTTTTCCTAATAATCTAACATTAGTCAACCTTACAAAATGACATATGACTCGATTTGATCCCCATTTTCAAATTTATTTTTCTCTAAATTTAGTTTGATATTCTCACATTTTATGGATCCTATAATTTTTATCAATTTTTGAATAACATATTTCATTAATCTTTTTCAAAATTTACTAAAAATTTAAATTTCAGCAAAATCTAACAGAGGCCTCTACTCGGGGGGAAAAAGAAGGAGGAGAAGAAGAAGATGATGATAGTGCCTTATCATGTGCTCAAAACGTTTTAAAGTTTTAAGACTAGACCTGATCGTAGATCAACTATTAATCTAATATTCAAAGAGCTTGATTTGATTTGGAATTCGGAAGACGAATTATAGTTATTTATTGTTAAGTTACTATTAAAGAACTCTTCACAACTTTGATATTTCTAGTGTGAATTTTATTTTTTCAAAGTATATTGCTCGCCTCTAACACTTTTGAACCGATGTGAGTAAATTGATTTTACTTAAAATCTAATTGAGTGGTTAACATAAATCCTATCGAAACAACAAAATATTGACAAAAAATTGTCCTTTATCACGTGTTTTTAATGTATTGTGCAAAAACACAACCAGACCTATTAGGCATTGTATAATTCTATTAAACAACAAATTATGAGCAACTTGTCCTTTATCACGTACTCTTAATTAACCGACCAAATCATTCTCGTTTTTTACTTAAAATGAGAAAAATACTAAATTTGCAAAAAATATGAGTTTAAATTCATAGAACCATTTTAGTTTTATGTTGCATGGTCCAAAATCAAATCCATAACAAAAATATCACCAAAAAAGTGTTTTAAGAATAAAAGCCATTGGAACTTTACAATGAAAAACTTGAAAATAAGAGATAAATTCCATTTGGGGTTAAGCATTTGGACCATTAAAACGAACAACTCGACAAATTCAAATTGAATAGATTGTTTTGGGTCGATTTTTCTAGCTATTCATTTTCTTTGAGGGAATTTTATTGGGTTGAGTCGATTTGCAATTTCTTTATTTAGTCCAAATTAATCAAACCTAATTCAATCTAGAATAATTTAATATATATTTATTTACAATAATAAACTACTGAAATCAAATAAATTTTATAAAAAACTTATTAAATAGTATTAAAAGCTAATCCGAACAAAAGACAAACTCTCATTCTAAATAACAAATCGTCTATCTTTCCCTCTTCGTCGGAGACACACTCATCTCTCTCATCTCAGTCGATGCCACAATCACAGCCTCGATTGGTAAAGGTACAAGTAAAGATTTTTTATTTTTTTTTCCTGCCTTTTTTTTGGTGTTTGATTATTTTTTTAATTTTAATTTTTTTTTTTTTTTTTTTTTTTTTTTTTTTTTTTTTTTTTTTTTTTTTTTTTTTTTTTTTTTTTTAGCCTCCAAAACACAACAATTGTAATTGAAAATAGCCCTGCCTGACGCGGGCTTAAGAAAAACCCTAGAAGATTGTGGGGTTTTGGTTGGTTCGATTTTACTCCCAATTTCGAATTGATTCGTTCGGGGTTGGCCCTAAAATTTGACAAACCCGACCAATGTCCACCTTAATTCCATTAGCAGTAATTGTAGTTCATTCAAACGCTAATTAGAAAATTATACTTAAGTTTTTTTCAATCCTGTAATTGCATTTTAATTTAATCTCAATAAAGGTAACTCCATCGAAATACATCCGTATATAGATAGAAAAACACAGTAGCGGACGTTCATTAGTGATGGACCTGAATGGATGGTTATTTTAAACGGGGTCAAATTTTAGTACAGTTGTCCAATTTTTATTTAAAAAAAAAAAACATACAATCAGTGCAAATAAAATTACCAAATATTCTAATATATATATTTTTTCAAAATCCATTCTCAAAATCTCTATCAAACATGAAGCAAAAATTAATTGTAATAAATGTTATAATCAATATCGATTTTCGAAATTGTATACATGCGCAACAATAAAGTTCTTTTATGTACCAAATACTCAATAAAGATTTTGATACCACGACAATTATGAAAAAAAATCAATACCAAATACCCGACTCATTCTTCACTAATTTGATTCTTTTAAAATCAAAACGATATCGAATTATCATGGTTTAAAAAAAGGTGGCTATTAATAAAAATGGATTCCAAACAACAGGAGAAAGGTTTTCGTTTTAAAGTTGAAAATAAAAACAAAAAAATTAAAATCTTTATAAAAATGGGAAAAAAAAAAAGATTCTCATAATCATAGACCCTTATTAATTATTTATTATGCTGTGACTGAAAAGAAAATAATACACAATTAAAACCTATAAATAAAACCTTTTTCCTTTTCGGCATATCTGCCTCTGAGCCAAGTCCTTTAAAAATCTTGTTCCAAAAGAGTCGTGGCAAAATTTCAAGAATTCTCACTTCTCCAAAACCCCAGAAAATCACATCCCCAACTTCCCCGCAATTTCTGTTTAAAATAAAAAAAAAATGGAAAAATGGAAAAAAGAAAAAGCTGAAACCCAAAATAAAAATAATTAAAAACTGATATATACATACATGATATGATGCATATCAAAAAGCCCAAAAGCTTCTACGTTTCTCTATTCTTTTGCTGAACCCCACTTGATAAAGAACGTAGCATCAGGACGACAGGTCAGTATATTATACAAAATTCCATTAATACTTTGATCCAAAAATCTTCCTTTTTTGCTGATATCTTATTTTCTTGGTATTGGCATGGCTTTTTTGCATTTTTTTTCTTCTGGGACATTGTTTTTTTTATTTTCGGTTGCAAATCGATAGCATTAGTTTGTAGATCCAATGGACGTTGTTTTTGCTTCAGTTTTGTAACTTCTGTTGCTCAGAACTGATTTTTGGTAATTTTTTTATTTTTATTTTTTGTCATGTGGATGTGTTCTATTTTCTTGAATACTTATTGTGGGGATCATCAATTGATTCAGTGGTGAAATGTGGGTGTAATTTTGATTTAATTCTTGTTGCTGCAATGTGGTGATTGTGAAATATTTTTTCTGAAACTGTTTCAAAATGTGTATGAGTTGATGAATTGACAATAAGCATCATAACTTTTTAAATGACTATTTCCGCTTCTCGATGCTATTCAGCACTAGTATTGGATCATGGATTGATATCACCAAAAAGGCTTGGCAATTGGAATAGTTTAGTCTAAACGATGTCTAATTTCGGCTAGTGGAGACTGATTTATTACACAATCAATTCGTTTGGATGTTATCCATATAAAGTTTGCATGCCATCATAATTTAGATTATGTTATTGTGGGAACTTTCTAATTTTCTATTTTCAGTCGACCTTCTTGGTTGTCTAGGTCTATTGAGTGGTTACTTCTGGAGCTAAACTTCTATTTAGTGATATTGCCCCTGCTTAGTTCAATGAAAGAGTTGGATTAAAATCTAAGTCGATATTCTATCAACTTAGTCAAAATCTACCAAAAATCGGATTTTATCTAAACCAAACAGGGCCAAGGCTGAGCATGTTGTTGCCTGACTATTTAATATAAGTTGTTTGAGCGAAGGAAGCTTACCCACATTTCTTTGTGACACACTGATACATAGATTCAGCAGCTAAGCTCATGTGAAGCTTAAGTTAATTCTCTGGTAATTCTACTTTCCTTTTACTTCGTTTACGGCTATGGATATATAATTGTAGTTTACAGAGCGCAGAAATTATTGAATTCCAACCGCATTGCTTAAAAAGAAAACAAAAAGAGTACATCACAATAAATGTGAATGCTTTAGCTTTTGTATGCCAAGATCTGACTAGACAAGAAACGATTAACACGTCTTCGGCGGTGAATGTCTTTATTTGGTGCTGTTATTTTGCTTTATAGCCATGGTTCTTGTGCCTTACAAAATTATATCCTTCCTTTTTTCTGAGGAGAAGCAAGTACAATTTCAATGGCTCAAGATACATCTAATTCTGAATCAACTCAGAGAAGACATGGTCTTTTAAAAGATCAAGTTCGATTGGTCAAGAGGAAGGACTCAGATCGTTATGAAATTGCCCCTATTCCTGATAATTTGTCATTTGAGAAGGGTTTTTTTGTTGTTGTTCGTGCTTGCCAGTTGTTGTCACAGAAGAACGATGGACTGATATTAGTAGGTGTAGCTGGTCCGTCTGGTGCTGGGAAGACTGTATTTACTGAGAAGATGCTTAATTTTATGCCAAGCATTGCTGTCATCTCAATGGACAATTACAACGATGCTAGTCGAATTATTGATGGAAATTTTGATGGTAATTCAATTTATCAAGTCCTTTTTCTCAAAGACTTGTCTTACTGCATTCTAGCTGTTTAGAGGTTGCCGTTCTTGTTGTTAGTTGATTTGAAGTTGGAGGCTTCTTCATTTGGTATCCCTATATTCTTGTTTAAATCTCTTATTAAACTAGAAATAATTCTCCTCTTTCACCAATGAAGGTTTTCCTTTCCCTTTTGTTTTTGATTTTGAAATTTAGGTGTCCCTTTAAGTCTTATGTATAATATTTCTTTGGAAAAATTGAGCTGGAGAATGGAGATGATTAATTTATTTGCATTTATTCTCTAAAATAGAGCATGTATATTTTAGGGACTACGATTGATTAATATAACTTGTAAAAGCTCTGTACTTTGAGCACAACATGCTATGACATTTGAAGGTTTAATATGAGTTTTATGCTAAGCCAGATTACAAAGCTTTGTAGACGTGGATGAAATAAACCTTGGCTTATTAGCAAATATGATACTGCCTGCAATTTCTTGATGTCTAGATGTAACATGTTATTGAAATGGTGTCAAATATGTGAATTAAATTGTTATCCAAAATGAAAATGTTTACATGACTCCATGCTCTTTTCTCTGTTTGGGAGACAATGTTTGATTGACCATGTCCAATTCGGAACTGGTATTGGCAACAGCATATTACTGCTGAAGTCATAAAAATGACATTTTCTTTGGGATTTGACATATTGATTGTTATTTAAATCTATAGTCTTTTCATTGGAGGAATAACATACTTGTGGATGAGACTAATGAAATTTGATGACATTTTGCATTCATCTCTTAACTGATCCCCTGCCTCCAACCCAAAAATTGTGTTCTAGAATCTTTTGGTCTGGTTTGTCCTAAGACTTATGTACAATTGCAGTTTCAATCTAAAGATAATACTGCAAAATATCCCCCCTTTTTCTGCATTGAATGTGAATAATCGTTAGTCTTGCTATGTTTATCAAACAGACCCACGCTTGACGGACTATGATACCTTGCTGAAGAACATTCAAGATCTGAAATCGGGGAAGCAGGTTGAAGTTCCCATATATGATTTCAAATCTAGCTCCCGCGCAGGATACAGGTTCCCCTCTTTGTAGCTCACTTATGAAAGCTCTCATAATGCAGTCTATTTGAAAACCATTTAGGCTCTTAGGACAGCATGATGTGATTGAGGTTTTAGGAAAAATAGTTTTCATCTAATAATCTTATGTTTCTTATTTCAATAATTTGCTTTATATCCTGTATGGTTCAGATGGATATTAACCTCACAAGCTCACGAGTGCCATAGAAACGGCTCCTGTTATTTTATATATTAGTTTAGAAAGTTGCTTGGATTGTTATATCATGCCATGTTACTCCTGTTGATTTAGTTAGTGTAGAAATTCTTGACTAACTTAAACGGATGTACGTTATTATAACTATTTAATCTCTCCACCGTGTATCTTTGTTGCTCAAGAATTCCTATTTATAAAGGTTATTGTTTTAGAAGTTAATACCTTTTGTGTTGCTTCACGGAATGAACTATCACTTTATATGTCTTTGAAGTAGAGTACACTTATGTGCTTTATCTCCACTAGCATTTCCCGGTCTGACCTCATGATGTTATGGGATGATGACAGGACACTTGAAGTCCCAAGCTCCCGCATTGTGATTATCGAGGGCATCTATGCTTTAAGTGAAAAGTTGCGTCCTTTACTGGATCTTCGAGTATCTGTGACAGGAGGTGTGCACTTTGATCTTGTAAAACGGGTTTTAAGGGATATACAACGTGCTGGGCAGGAACCCGAAGAAATAATTCACCAAATATCTGAAACGGTTTGTTTTCTAGTGTCTGGGTTAAATATGTGCCTCAAGTAAATAATTTCCTTTCGTAATTATCAGCTAGCATCCTCCACAGGTGTATCCGATGTACAAGGCTTTTATTGAGCCTGATCTCCGCACTGCACAAATAAAAATCATCAACAAATTTAACCCATTCACTGGATTCCAGTGTCCTACTTATATATTGAAGGTAACAATTTTATTTATAATTTTCTACTTCTGTTATGATGCTAGTTGATGCTTGTGTGATGATAATGAAATATAACATTAACTGGGGAATCATGTTCTTCTAGTCTCCAAGGGATGTGACTGTGGATCAAATCAAGTCTGTCATGTCTGAAGAACATACTGAAACAACAGAACAGACGTATGACATATATCTTCTACCACCCGGAGAAGATCCAGAGACCTGTCAATCATATCTGAGGATGCGGAATAAGGATGGAAAATACAATCTCATGTTTGAGGTCTGCTCCTAATATCATAGTGATTGGCACTGGAACCATCATACTTTTGAGTATATTTGTCATTACATTTTTGTTCCCTAAAGACACCTATAATGTATAATCATCTTGTTTCGATTTCTATAATTTACTGAGTGTACTATTACATTTTAGCAGAGCAAATACTATTAGCATGTCATTAACACATTAGAGATGTTTAAGGAAAATTAAAAACTTGATTTCTGCCTCCTAGCAGCCATGCACTGTCAGATCACCATGCATCTCTTCTTTTCCTTTGTTTCTTCTGCTCCTGTCATGAGTAATTGTGCCTTTTCATCTTATGAAAGTCTTGTGTTGAAGGTTTTTAATTATGTGAAACCTTACTAAGTTTTTCATTTTGACCTCGAAATTTCAAATCCCTCTTACTCTGCCATGCTGACACATAGATGAAGATAAATTTGATTTTATTGGAAAATAGAGAGTGAGTATGAACGAACACTTACTAAGAGAAAGAAGCTTAGTGTTATTTCTTTACTTGTCTTTCCTATTTTCTTCTCACGGAAACCAAACTCTCTACAGAGGAAGCGAAAATAAAATTAGTGTATCCTGGGTCTATAATTCCCACCTTTTCTGGCCTCAATTTTTGTTTGTTATGTTCAAACATAAAGTTTCTCTTTTATGCATGATTTTATGCTTATACTACGTCTACAGCTCTTTTGATGCACAGAAAATTTTAGTTACTTGGAAAATAGGGATACCACTATAAGTGGTCCATATCTCATAATATCAATTGGATATTGGCAAGAAGTCCACTGACCACTAAAATGCGGAAAAAATATTACCATCTTATTTTCTTAGATTTATTATACTTTTGAACTGTAGGAATGGGTCACAGATCCTCCATTTGTCATATCACCAAGAATAACTTTTGAAGTTAGTGTACGGCTTCTTGGAGGACTGATGGCCTTGGGATATACAATAGCAGCTATTCTGAAAAGAAGCAGCCATATTTTTAGTGATGAAAGAGTCCATGTGAAAATTGATTGGCTGGAGCAGCTAAAGCGTCATTATGTTCAGGTGGTACACCTATCCTTCTTCCCTCCTTGCTACCATGTGCTAAGATCTCACATGCTAAAATTTTACTCTGCCTTTTTAATCAAATTTATTATGTCCATAGTGTCAGTCTTTCTGATGTTTTAAGTAATTAAATGAGTCTGGAGTTTCATATGCCTACATGTTTTGCTACTATGTGCATGTTTACCGTAGCTGTGCTTATATTAAAATGTTTGGCTAAACGTGCTCCGTGTCTTTCGTGCTTATTCTTCATTCTGAATTATGGACAATCCCTATCTTTTCTGGGCTCGACTACTTGGTCACCTAGTATGTAATGAAGATGTGTAGTTGTTGGTAAATATGTAATATATAGTATGTAAGTGCTTATATCAATCTTTATCACGTAACTAGGTCATTATTGTTACCGAATTATCTGTAGCTTTCAATATTTACTAATGTATATTGTCAGCAATCATTTTGTGTTTATTATTGAGTTACTATATACATGTCAAGTTGTCAGAGAAGAATATCCATGGTCTTAAAAGAATACACTAACGTGATGCAAGATGGAGAATTTCTTTTGGAAAATGATTTTTTTGTCATGAATACTAGGTTTACTGATCTCCTTGAGTAGTATCTCGCTGTTGACATGCATTAGCATTCTTGGCCTGATATGAAATATCCTTATTTCTCACCTTATTTCTCAAAAGTGGCATTGGATATACATAGTGCAGATAATTTGATGGTTTAGCACTTGTGTGTTCGGATGATGGCTTTTTTATTCATTAGTTAATATAGTCTAATCTCAGGTAGTTTGTTTTGTCACATGTGGTCAGTTAAAGATCTATGTTGTTAAAAATTCTTTGTTCGGGACAGGTACAAGGCAGAGAGCGCCTGCTAGTGAAATGTGTTGCTGAGCAGCTGGGATTGGAAGGTTCATATGTTCCACGGACTTATATTGAACAAATACAGTTAGAGAAACTCGTAAATGAGGTTATGGTATGGTAACTAACCCAGCATCTGCATATTCCATCATCTGCATATTATTCCTAATCTGAAAAATTTTCAGGCATTGCCAGATGATTTGAAAACCAAGCTTAGCATAGATGATGAACTTATCTCAAGCCCAAATGAAGCATTTTTCCGAGCCTCCTCAGTCGGAAGGGCATCATCGAGAATTAAGACTGCAAAAAGGTTCTACTTTCTATCATACACTTACTATATGACTTGTAATAGTCCAAGTATTCGTGTGCCCCTTCACTGAGTTGGGCTATATCAGAATAGTTTGAGGTTCAATTCTAATGTACCTTGGTACAAGATTAATCGATATTTGCTGTTCAAGTATTTCTTAAGGCCCAACATATCTTTGTGGCGAATTCTCTTTTTTTTTTTTTTTTGGGCTGCAGGTGTACTGTCCACCTTGTGCTGGGAAAGATTGCTACTTAAAGTTATAGAAAATTATCAATCTGTTTCCTGTCTTACGGATTCATCTTCGGAATCTTTCTGGCCATCCTTCCCAGCCCCTCTTGCTTACTACAAGTTCACTTCCTACGAGTCCATATGAAATCATGCAAATGTATGGGGAAAGCTGTGAGGCACTGTTATACTAGGAGCTGGGGATTAATTTGCAATCTATAAGTATCTACACTGCATAAAAGGCTGGAGCACCTTTTAAGTTTCTCTTTAGGGGTTGCACTTCTTCTAGACTGTACAACTGATGTTGGTGTCCTTTGGTTGGTCATACTGATTTTTCCATGACAGCTCACGATATCCACCTGGCATTTGAAAAAACTACCCTCCCTTTCAGTACATTAAAATTTCAAAAGCTGAAATCAATATTCTATCAATCTTGTTAAAGAAAATATTGTTTCAATGGAAGAGTATAGTAGAAGTAGCTCTGGACCAAATAGAGTTGAAAACATGACTTGTGAAGCCGACCTTAAGTTTATTAGAAAGATTTTACAAATTCCATGGGGTGAGGTACCCCTAGATCTTTTGTTTTTACTGGATGTGTATGATTTTATGTTGTTAGTAACTTATCCCTTGTTTATCAGTTGACGAATTATCACTATCTCAAACTTGTTTGTGACTTGAATTGTTTTGAACAGTGGTATGTCACATTCATATTCAACACATAGGGACAAAAACCTGTCCAGGATTAGCAGAGGGTTTGATGATAGGACGTCAGAGCCACCAGCTACATTAGGAAATCAGGTGATACTAAGTGTTAATTTTTCTGAAGTTTCTATGCCATACTCAGATCCTTGTCTTTCTGTTTGTTTCTCTCTCATTCTGTGCATGCGTGATAGGGAGCCATCACGCATCTGTTGGAACATATTTCTACTCTAAATGATCGGATGGATGATTTCACATCTCGTATTGAAGAGCTAAATTCAAAGTTAACTACAAAGCGAACTTCACCCAGCTCACAAAACATAGCTTTACAAGCTGAAGCCTGTAATGGGTCGGTCCCAACTTCTTACTTCATATCTGGTTTGGAAAATGGTTCCTTAACTGGATCCATCATGCCAAATTCCTCGTCTTCATCCCAGTTAGCCAAAGAATCTCCTTTGATGGAAGAGGTATTATTTCTAGTTTATTCAGAAATGTTCTCCTTTTCTTACACTGTCTAGCAATGGTATAATTTATTTAGGGTAAAAGTATCATGCAAGCTTTTCATTAACAGTTGAGTTAATATTCAAAATAACATCATATGGAAGTTACAGTTACTAATCTAATTGGTCGTAGGATAATGCAGCTACACTTGTGATTTCACATATATAAACATTAGACATTAAAGAAATATCTTAATGTCAATGAAAATAGCGACTGAAATGTCATATAAATAGAACCATTTTCTATTTAATTTTCTATGGATTAATATGTACTTGCAGCTCTCACCGTCTGGTGTATATGTTTCTCAATTTTCCTGAACAGAGACTAGGAAGACCGGAATAGTGATTGATCGTGCATAATTATACTCATTGGTCAAGTTACCTGACTCTTGCTTTGTGATTTATCCCTCTCGTTCTGAAATGTATCGCTCTATTCTTAACAGATGTCTGGTGTAGCACGGGGGCAACGCCAAATCATGCATCAGTTGGATAATCTTAGCAATCTTCTGCGCGAGAATTTGGGTGAAAGGTCGCATCATGGTGGAAGACAACACAAAACTGATACTGTTGATATTGATCCAATCAAAATCTCCGTTATCTTAACATCATTGGCAATTGGCGGTTTGGGAATTTTCTTGTTTAAGGGGTTTCTTCCCCAAAAATGATTGCTCTAAACTAATATTAGTCGAGATACAGGTATTCGGTCCTCATCTATTTGCTGGTATCCTATCGGATCCTGCTGAATGTTTTACAATACACCCTTCTGGTCGGGAAAAGTACTGTTCATGGATCATCTGATCTGTGATTTTTGAGGCATTGGATCATAGTTCTCATTTTTTTCAATGGAGGGTATACTTTTTGGAACGTATTGTAGCTTTCTGGGGTCCTGGGGATCTAATTTTCTGACTTTTTCTTAATGTTAAAGGTTCTTCTAATATAAGAAAGCATTCAAATTTTGATGCAAAGTTTACTTCTGCATGAATTGGGTTCCATTTTCATTATTTTCTAGATTGGTCAAGATTTTGCTGCTGTGTGAAAACGAAAAATGGTGAACACGTTGCTTTGTTAGGATATTTGCAGGGTGGATTAGATGACACTCGACAGTGTTAAGGAATTAAAATATTGTATATTGCATTATTATTCTTGTTCAGTATTACAAAAGAATCATGCTGTGTATGTACGGTACACAGTTCCTTGAAATGTGATTGTGCATTATAATGACTTTTTGTATTCTACTAATAAGAATTTGCTGTTGAAGTCGACTTCAATTGAACGTGTAAATACTAAAACCTAGTAAATTAAAAAATTGTTATTAATAATGCAATTCAAACAGTATACATTAGACAATCAGAATATCCTACGATCCGTTTTAAAACAGTTTTGAATGCAATGTGTAAATAGAATTTTTAGCGTTCAACGTAGTTTTAATCAATTACGAAAGTTAAACTAACATATTAAAATATGAACATTAGAAGTAACGTGATAAACTTCGAAGGGAAGCACTCACGGGCTTTCATGTCATGGGTCAAACAATCCATTATATCAAATAATCAAAATTACAGTAGTCTCAGTTTTGTAATTTCCCAAAATTAACTAAAAACATCAAAAGAAATTTAAGAACGACTTTCTCGTTTTCTTCTTCTTTTGACTTGTTGGAGAAGTGAAATCAAACTCTGTGATCTTGACTTTATCACTATTTCACTATTGTATTCGATCATAACCACCATTTGGATTAAGATTCCCCATTTTAACTCACACCAAGTAGCTTGTTTTTGGAATAGGATTGCACATTCACGGTCTAGTTTGTTTTTCTTCTAATAATGTTGAAGAATAACAATTTGCTCTGAGTATTTTTTTTTTTTTTTTTTTTATATCCAGATGTCCACTTTACAGCGATTAATTCTGGGGTCTACGATCCAACCCCTCTTCACGCAGACCAGATAAATCGCGGGTTGTGTCCCAAACTGGCCAGAGTCCAAGAGCCCCCCAACTGAACTGTCAAAGTGCCTAACGAGTCAAACCTATGTATGCGTCTTGCCTTTCAAGGAACTCCTGCCTTCTAAGAAATATCCTGCCTTCCAAGAGCCCCATGAATCGAACTACCGACCTCTGAACTGCCCGCCTTGAAAAACTCCGCCATTTGCCAGTTGGGATGTGCCTTATGCAAGTCATTGTTGAACGTGTAGCTGCTGGTTCATCTGACGCATGTGGATTTTCTTAAAGCTGTTCATTTGTTTCTCGACTTCTTCCTTTACTTATGTAAGTACATAATCATATCATACACAATTAATTTGATATGGTAATAAATAAATTTAAAGGAAATTTAATATTAAACCAACATATCCTTGATTTTATTAACCTATCAAATAATATCTAGGATGCTGTCTAGATAAAGCTGTATTAGCTTCAATATAGAAACAGAAATTCGCTTCCTATTTTGAGTGTTAAAACCCTAAAATTCGCAACCACGGTATTTAGTTGAAATAGCTTACCTTCCAGTCAGTGAGGACTGACTGTCTACTGGGACCTGTAACCCATTTTAACGTTTTGGCACTTGTCTTTGACATTTGAAAATCAATTTATATTAAGTAAGCCAATAAAAATAATATGTAAAAAAACAGAACGATTTACAAATTATGAACTTTTAAATTTTTGGAGTAGGAATATTCGGAATAACAATTATGAATTTTCCTAAGTAGACAGAAAGTAAAGTACACCGTGAAGAGGGAGTCATTGTTGGCTATCTATGGAATACAGCAAGGTGACTCTTGGTGGGACAAATTTATGTGGTTAAATATTTTGATAATGTTTTTAATTGCTTATTAAGTTATGAATCGTATGGAATTTATGGATAATAAATTAATAGTAAGTTATGAATTCTATAAAATACGTAAACAAAAAGTATAATTGATTATTTTAGATTATAATTTAAAATTTGTCAAATATGGCCGAAGGTAAGGATAAAGAAGCTAAGCCTTTTAACTCTGAGGTTTAGAGTTGGGAGCGAAGGTTTTAGGGCTAATTTTGATACATCAGCAGCTGGGATATGGTAGGTAGCAGGAAGCCTGCCCAAGCATGTTTGGCTAGCTTAAATTTCAATTATAAATAAATAAGTAATTTTAAAATAAATATTTTTTATAGATTGAAAATAAAAGGCTCAAATGGCACTCAAACTTATAGTTGCGTTTCTCTTAGGTACCTAAACTTTTATTTTTCCCTAATACATAAACTGAACTTCCAAATATGTTTCTCATCCATAACTACAAGTTAGGGTGGGCATTGGAAGGTTCAATCCAAATTTTCTTAGAAGCGGAACTAACCATCAAAGTATGATTGTTTTATAACTTGAACCATTCGGTTCACAATTGCAATTTTTTAAAAAACAAATCCAAATTAAGCAAATGTCGATGCCCTGCATCAAAGCGGTGTTTGAGACCAAATACCTAAAGGACGTGAACTTCGAGAATAAGATCATCATAAGAAGAAAAAATATTATACGTGCAAATATTCATGCATGTCGTTATTTACTGAGCACTAATCCCTCATGCAGGTCGCATTATATGTGTGACAATATATTTATTGGAGGTTGGTGTCATCTCTCATAAGATATGATGATTCTGAAATGGATACCCGACCGTGGCTCAGTGGATCTATCACCAAGAAAACCTAAAAAATGTTACAAATGGTTCTATTGAAATTATTTAGCTTTTCAAAATGGTTATTATATAATTTATATTGTTAATTCTTCAGTGCATTCTGCTTTTTACTCAAAGTGAATATATCTATTATTGTTGTCAACTATACTGCTTTTATTAGTTACTGAATTAATAATAAAATAATTTCAAATGTGTTCATTATTTTAAAATTTCCGCTGGCAATAGAATTTCAAAACCAAGCCCCTACTCTATGATAGTCATATAATATTACTAAATAATTTTCAAAATGACATTATAAATATATTTTTAAAATAATTTTCAAAATGACATTATATTTCGTTCATCCGTAGTAAACTCGAAAAAAAATCATTTTCACAAAATCTATTTTCAAAAAACAACATCTAACATACTTAAAATACAATATGAAAAGTGTAACTACGCTAACAAAGTATATTTTGTAAATTTTCCAATGTTTTAACTATGACATGTTATACACCAACAACTGATGAGGTTTAGAGCATGTTAGAATAACCTTAGTATACTATAGTTTAAAAAATAGCTTTTAGAATGAGTTATTTGGAAAGTAAGTTAAGACATACTAGTTATAGTAAATTTACAGTAGAAAATTATGTATATCAATGGTGCTACTAGATATGGTAGTGGGGCGGGTTTGGGACGGGGAGGTGGCTTGTCCCCTTTTTTGCCCCTTTTTCCTAAAAAAAACTGTGGAAAAAAGGAGGTAACTTATTAAATCTTTTTTATTATTTTGAGATTCACTTGAACATGAACTTGTCTTGTTTCGAATTGAAAATCAAGATCCAAACGATTTGGTTGGTTGTGTTTGTAATAATGAATGAGAAGTTGATTGGATTCTTTGGTGATGGGCAGCAGAGGCCTTGGCACCCTCCAAAGGGCTTGAGATGTGGAAGAATAAAATCTATGATTGTATGATAGGTAAGAATAGTCACAATCAATTGAGATTAAATGGTAAACTCTTCTTTTTGAATAAATTTGAAATATTGCCACATAATTGAACTTATCTCTACGATTTTAAATTAAGTCCAAATAAGGATAAAGCAAAAGTATTCAATTTGAATTCTTACCATTTAATACTCATTTTTCTATAAACATGCTTTATTTAATATTTCTTAATTATTAAAAAAAAGGTTGAACCCCAACTTTGAGGGCCCTCACCGTCCCGCCCCTAAAGTTTTGTGAGGGAGGTAAATCGCGGGATGTGCCTCAACAGGTCAGGGAATAAGAGCTGCATGTACACTGTGCCTACAAGAAGTCCAATTTCATGTTTCAGGAATCGAACCCCCACACCGCGGCTGCCAGCAACGCGTGAGATAACCTCACTCCTATTCTTTGCACCACTGGACTATGCCCTGAAAGGCAACATTTCTTAATTATTAATCCTCTATTGGGCAACGGGCAAGCTGCTCGAATCATTCCCTTTCCATCTAAACAAAACCCTAAACAAACCCAGAAAATGGAACACACATCTCCCTCAGTCAAAAAGTAAGTGGTTTAAGTAATTCTTACAAGTTCACTTGTCAAATGATTCATTGAAGAGAGCATTTTTTCTTACAGGGCGGCCCATGCCCGTGACCCGACACGGAGAGGGTTTTTTTGGCCCCATTTGGGATAGGGCAGGGCGGATTATTTTGCCATCTCTAAGTGCTATGCAAGTATAGCATGTATGTGCATTCAAAAATTATTTTGTCCAACAGCATATGCTTAATAAGGTGCTTTGCATGAAATTAAGTCCATATCTAGCTCTTATTTCTTAAAATTTGTTCTTTCTTAAACTCATTTTTAGTTATACATTTCATCAATTTTTATCAAAATCTAACCGAAAAACTTATAAGCTCAAAATTATAATTACTTTTTGAATAATGTTATTCATAGTCAACGACAGCGACAATCATCTTATGTGACAACTTGTTCCAAAATTTTATTTTTCAGTAATTTTATCATATTTATCTAACTGTTATACAAATTAATTAGGATTTTTAGCCTTCTTATATAAAGCATATTCATTACCTGCCAATTACGATTAATCCGTCAAATTGAAACCTCCATTAGATTCGGCAACTAAGGACGAGATTGGGAAAATTGCTGCAGAGGTGCCAAACCTTTCATTTGTGCCACTTGAGGTACCTAACTTTTAACAAATTCTCAGGTCCGGTCCGAATTGATAGAAACCGTCACTGAGGCAGTCAGTTGACCCATAAATGTACAAATTAATAATTTTGACCAAATAAGAAAGGGATATTTCAGTCACAACAAATTTACCCTTCTACAAAATTATTCATCTTC